ATTTTAAAAAAAACACACACACATTTCGATTTCAACAACTGGTAATATAACGAAAAATCGACTTTAGAGCACCACAATACGAACTTTCCCTTAGAAATACAATACCATAACGAAATTATATTCGCTAAAAACGCCCACCGCAAACTAACTTAATATATAATTTGTAAATATATTTTTATAATATTATGTTTTAAGCTACATACGCATTTTAAAATATTTTTTAGGATAAATAAGAAGAAATTAAAATCCAAATTATCAAAATACATCGATATAAACGATTAATTTATTTATATTTATAATACATTTGTAATGTTCGATCCATTATATCTATTTCCTTATATAAAATATTATGAATAATTATTGCATTATATTTCTTATTAATATAGATTATTAATATAAATATATATTTAATTAAATGATATATTTATAGATCATATAAATCATAAAAATTAATTTAATTCTATAATATATGTTGAAAAAGTATATTTATCGATTATTTAATATATGAATTTGAGAGGAAAGAGATACGAAAGGTAGGATAGCGGGAAGAGAAAAGAATACGAGAGGCAAGAACAAAAATGCAATATTCGACATAGAAATTTATTCCCTCGGAGGCGACCTTTCGTATATGTATATTCATATGCACTCTAAAAATTCAAATATATGTTTTCGATATATTCAAAAAAATTCTTAAGAAAACACATTTGCCCCATAGCTCAAATCATCGGTGAATATTAAATCGGAATATCATAAGATTTAAATTATCCAAAAACAATAAGAAGCTCACGAAAACGCTCCCCAAAAGAGAAATAATGCACTTCACAACACAAATTTTAAATATATATTTCCGCATGGGGCACCGCGTTTCACCAAACAGGCCTGCCACCAAGCTTGATAACACGTTTCCAATGCCCAATCTGCAATGGAAGAAACCTCCTATAATCATAGGGCGTGCAAAACAATGATAGGCAGCAAATGAGTAGGCCTTGTAGCCCAGGCCGCAGCAGCGGCAATGACAAGCAAGCAGCAAGCAGCAGCACCAGCAGCAACCAAGCAGCAAGCAGCAGCACCGGCAGCAATCAGGCAGCAGTAGCAGCAGCCAACCAGCAGCAGCAGCAGCAGCAGTAACCAACCAGCAGCAGCAAAGTGACAGCAATAAAAAACCAGCAGCAGACCGGCAGCACCAGCGAAGGCAACCCAATAAAACTTTCTCCCAAGGGCACACCTCATCTGGCACAAATTCATGCCACTCAATAGTGTGTCCGCTTCATTGCGGAAGTCAGGTTTCTACGAGGACCCTGCTGGCGAGGGTTGGCCCTATAAATCCTTGGAGGGTTGGCTATATGAAACCTAATTCCGAAATAAAGGGGAACCTATAGGCGGCCTATAAAAACAACCTATGGGTTGCCCGCCAATTTCCTTGCGGTAGGTTTTGTACAATAAAACAAACCCATTGAATAAAATCATGCATGTAGAAAATATTTTCCAAAACACTCTATCCTATAAAAAAAAAACGTTCTAGTATATCGATTTCCTGGTTTGCTCATCACCTTCTATTTGCTATTTAAAAAAATACACACACATTTCGATTTCAACAACTGGTAATATCACGAAAAATCGATTTTAGAGCACCACAATACGAATTTTCCCTTAGAAATACAATACCATAACGAAATTATATTCGCTAAAAACGCCCACCGCAAACTAATTTAATATATAATTTTTAAATACATTTTTATATTTTAAACTACATACGCATTTTAAAAGGTTTTTTAGGATAAATAAAAAGAAATTAAATTCCAAATTATTAAAAATATATCGATATAAATAATTAATTTATTCATATTTATAATATTCGATCGATTATATCTATTTCCTTATATAAAATACTATAAATAATAAAAAATAATATTTTCAATATATTTCTTATATATTTATAAATCATATAAATTAATTCAATTCTATAATATTCTCAAAAAAATTACATTTGCCCCATAACTCAAATCATCGATAACCAATTAAATCGGAATATCATAAAAATTAAATTATCCCAAAATCATAAAAAATTCACGAAAATGCTCCCCAAAAGAGAAATAATACGCTTTACAACACAAATTTTAAATATAGATTCCCTCGAGAAATACCTTTCGCAATTAAAATTTCATATAAATCCTATCTCAATGCTCCAAAGAATTTCAACGATCCTAAAATCATAAAATATTCATAAAAACGTTTAGAAGAAAGAAAAAAAATAAAAAATAATATATTAAAAAATAAAGTCCAAAGAAACGAAAAAAAATATATTGCAAAAATCAATTCGAAAAACCGAATTTAACGATTAATTATTACACCCAAACATTCCAACACAAACTCAAAATATCCCTAACGCACTACCTTTCGAAATAAATCTAAAATATATATAACTCAAATTCTATTTAATTCATAATATTATTTTCATAATTATTGTGAATCTACAATTTTCTTATAACTAAAAATTACAAGTCATAAAACATAATCCATCAATTATTAATAATAGTTATTCGATAAATAGTATTATGAAAAAATATATCAAAACATATTTCAGATGTTATTCCCGAGAGCGTCTACGAAAGATTCTTCGTAAAAAAACATCTGCAGAAGAATTTCGTTTCATCTATATCTTCACATCTTTACATCTTCACCTCTGTGCATCCACATTCTCACCTATATCTCTGATCTCTGCTCATCTTCCCATCTACATTCACAAGTGCACATCTACATCTCTGCTCATCTTCACATCCTCACATCTATATCTCGCATCTTTACCTCTCTCATCTACATCTCACATCTTCACCTCTCGCTCTTCTAAGGCCGGGGGCCGTACCGCCGGAGCACCACGAAACGCAACCCTCTGCGGAGATCGCGCGTGTCGAGCGAACGAAATGCAGGCGAGAGTGCGATTTGTCTCTGTCCGTCACAATCCTCTGCGGAGATCGTGCGTGTCGAGCGCGGGCAACCCTCTGCGGAGATCGTGCGTATCGAGTGCACGAAATGCAGGCGAGAATACGATTTGGTTTTGTCGCGGGCAACCCTCTGCGGAGATCGTGCGTGTCGAGAGCGCGAAATGCAGGCGAGACTGCGATTTGTCCCGGTCGCGGGCAACCCTCTGCGGGGATCGTGCATGTCGAGTGCGCGAAATGCAGGCGAGAGTGGGATTTGTGTCTGTCCGGCGCAACCCTCTGCGGAGATCGTGCGTGTCGAGTGCGCGAAACGCAGGCGAGAGTGCGATTTGTATCTGTCCGGCGCAACCCTCTGCGGAGATCGCGCGTGTCGAGTGCGCGAAATGAAGGCGAGAGTGCGATTTGACCCGGTCTGGGACAAGCCTGTGCGGAAATCGTGCGTGTTGAGTGCGCGAAATGCAGGCGAGAGTACGATTGGACCCGGTCCGGGACAACCCTCTGCGGAGATCGTGCGTGTCGAAGGCGCGAAACGCAGGCGAGAGTGCGATTTGCGCGTGTCCGGCGCAACCCTCTGCGGGACTGTGGACTTTGTAGTACAACAACTGTAGTACGCGGAGCAATCTGTCGAGCTGGAAGCTGAGAACTGGCGACATTGTAGTACAATTGTAGTATACGGAGCTGGAAGCTAAGAACTGGCGACTTTGTATAATGCAACTTGAGTACGCGGAGCATCTGGCGAGCTAGAAGATAAGAATTAGCGACTTTCTAGAACTTTAGTACACGGAGTATCTGGGGAGCTGGAAGATGAGAACTGGCGACTTTGTA